TGGCCTTCGCTCTTTTGAAGCTTCATCTTCGACCACCATGCTGTAAGCCTTCTCTCTCCTCCACAGCGTGTCACTGGCCGTGCAAAACAAGATACAAACATCAAGTCACCAGCTTCGAGACAGAACTTGGACACTGATTTGACGCGAAAGAAGCACCCCTACGGGTTTGAGGTCGTAGTGTCAGGTCTACACTGCTGCCAAGACATAAACCATCTTTGATTTGCTCTGAGATTTGTGGAAACATGTTGGATTCAATTGGATCCAGGTTGGATCTGGGTGTACTTCATTGGATTAATCGGCAGTATCTTGATGTCCTGGCATTGGCATCATAGATCTCAGAGATGGCTTCTGAGGTCTCCTCGCTGGTCGTCACGGACCTCAGAGATGGCTGGACCTATAATCTCAAGATACAGCAGCTGGCAGCTAAACACGGAGACAACACAAGCCCAGATTGTTTGGGGGGGTCTTCTGTACATGATGGATAACAGACTTCAGGGTGTGTGCCCAAGAGAACACCCAAAACAATATCTATATAATTACTGTATTAGGACATCGTGTCCCATAGTCAATGTGTTGTTTTTGGATATGATGTGTCACCCAACCAACACAGTGTGGCATCAATGAGTTGGTCCTGTTTTTTCTCAATAAAATTGAAAAAATGCATTGAAAAAGACCAAAACAATCCTAGAGAACTACACAAGGACATCAAGTTTGAACCAGGCACTCCTGGGACGCGCCGTAGTTGGGATCAGCTTCGGATTGCCTCATCACTTGAGTGCTTCCAAAAAGAATGTTTGCCTGATTGCTTCCGTCGCAGGCATCCTTCAAACCACTGCTGTTGGTTTAAGGACAAGGATCTGTAACTGATTGTACTTGAGTATATATACGTATTTATATATATAGTATTTTTGTTCTTTAATGTCAGGCAATGGCAGCCATACATGACCAACCATCAAATAATTAGTTGTGTGAAAAAAGAATTAGCCCAGCTGGAGACCCCAATAGCAAGATACAAACCGGGACAACAAGAAAAATCTGGAAACAGCTGCTGTTTTCAACACATCGACCATCTCTTCCTTGGACACCATCATCACATAACCGGGACACCATCACAAAATGACCAGGGCACCATCAAAACATGACCGAGACACCGTCGCAACATGATTGGGACACCATCACAACATAACCGGGACACCATCACAAGGTGACCGGGACACCAGCATGACATGACGGGGACACCATCACAACATGACCGGGACACTATCACAACATGACCGGGACACCGTCACATGACCCGGACACCATCAAAGCATAACCGGCACACCGCCAAAACATGACCAGGACACCATCACAACAGGACCGGGACACCATCAAAACATGACCGGGACACCGTCACAACACGACCGGGACACCATCAAAACATGACCAGGACACCATCACAACATGACCGGGACACCATCAAAACATGACCGGGACACCCTCAAAACAGGACCGGGACACCATCACAACATGACTGGGACACAATCAAAACATGATCGGGACACCATCACAACATGACCGCGCCACCATCACATGATCGGGACACCATCAAAACATGACCGGGACACCGTCACAACACGACCGGGACACCATCAAAACATGACCGGGACACCATCACAACATGACCGGGACACCATCAAAACATGACCGGGACACCATCACAACATGACCGGGACACCATCAAAACATGACCGGGACACCATCAAAACAGGACCGGGACACCATCACAACATGATTGGGTCACAATCAAAACATGATCGGGACACCGGGACACCAGCATCACATGACCCGGACGCCATCAAAACATGACCGGGACACCATCCGCCCACCAGCTCTGACGGTGACCCGACGGCGCCCGTCCGCCTATTAGTTTTGCAAGACCCCATAGCATGGCTATTGGGGAAAAAACCCAAAGAAACATGAAACACATGCAAAAACACCGCAAAAAGCAAAACAAAAGCAAATAACAAAGCAAAAACAAAGCGCGACAAGAGGCAAAAAAATGCAAAAAAGGAGCCAGCTTGTGTGTTTGTCGCATTTGTTTCACTTCTTGTTGGTTTTATTTTCACTTTTGTTTGCTTGACTTTCGCTTTTGTTGCTTTATGTTCGCTTTTTCTTTGCTTTTTTCCTAGGAGCGTACAGCGAATATTGCTGACGGGTAAAAGTGTTCATAAGTGCAGAAGTGGTACCAGAAAAAGAATGCAAAAAAAACAAAACAACAACAATGCGAAAAAAAATGCGAAAATAAAGCGGAAAACATGTGAAAATAAAGCGAAAACACAAAGGGAAAAATAACGATCAACATGCAAAGCTACAGTTTTTTGCTTTTTGTTTGCTTTGTTTTTGCTTTATTTTCAAAAAATAGTAACAATAATTATAATAAGTACTATTTTGGTTCCTGGTATCTATGGCTGGCGCGCCAAACATACGTAAGTATAGAACTTGAATCTTGTGAACACCCCTGAAACTTATGCTAAAAGCATGCCATTGTTGTCATCATGGTCCTCAAAACCCAACAAGACTCCAAATTAAAGCACCAATCGTTGCGGAAATCCAGAAGTTCAGCTTTGCTGCGAAGAGATGTCCTGTTCGAACTGAATCCGCGCAAGGTCCTCCAGTTTGACCAAAGCACGTCTATGCTGTCGGCCGCCTCACACCAGCGGGACAAGGGCTCCGAAGCTGAGGCCTCTCTCTAGAGCGGAAGTGGACTCAGTTGAACACACATTGAACCAAAGAACTGGAGAAAGATGGAATCAAGACGAATCCAGGAAGACTTCCTTTCAACGAGCTCCTCTGTTAGAGAAAATAACAGCATGGGAACGCATCGACAGGGCCCTTAAAAAAATTTGGTGATCTGCCGTGTTTCTTCCGGCGTGCTCTTGGCGTGGAGCCACTAGACTAGACGCACCAACATCGTGGCCTACTAAAAACCGTTGTCACTTAGGTGTCACAACTCGCCCAGAAAAATGGTCAGCCATGATTCAATACGTGACGGAAGCAAAAGGATTCCACGTGAACATCAGGAATCTTGCGGGTCAGGCTTCCACCTACACTGTCACTCAAAATGATGCATGCAGTACTACTAGTAACAAGGAGCTACTTGGAACAAAGGGCCTTGCTACTAGGAACAAGGACGCTATTAGTAGCTCCTGGCATTACTACTAGTAACAAGAAGCTACTAGTGCCTTTGAAGTCACCCCGCCCAAAATGCACTTCTGGCACCTCCGGGCCGTTCAATGTAGTATTCCACCCAGCAGCTGTTGCTCTGCGGGCAGGTCTCCAACTTAGGCCAAAAGCCGGGGCGTGGCGGGCAAACCCTCCTCTCATTACACAGAAAATAGGCCCCAGGAAAACAAGTTTGCTCTACGAACGCGGGCTTTCCACATTCGTGAGAAGTGTGAAAGCGCTATAGGTGAGCTGCCAAAGACAACTGACAGCTATCAGTGTCGGAAATGGGCCCAACAAACCGAAACGCCCAACAAACAAGTGGGAGTATACCTTCTTGTGCACAAGTCCGTCTGGATTAATCTTGGAATAAGCCAAACACATCCAGAGACCCATCTTAAGCTCATGACATCTGAAGAATATGGAAGAATGGTGCATCTTTCGGGAAGGCCAACCTTGTACCGAAGACAGCCGACCCAAACTCGGCAAAGAAACGACCAGCGCTTGAACATTGCCACCCTCACACCGCCGGTACCAGAGTTCGTCTCCAGCCTGCGGGCGAAGCGGCGAAGTGGAAACGAGTGAAACGTCTGCAGTTTGGACTTCGATTGAGACATGTTGCAACCTACTAGCGATGGCCTTTGTTACTAGTAGCTTCTTGTTTCTAGTAGTAAGGCCAGGAGCCCCTAGTAGCGTCCTTGCTCCTAGTAGCGATGCCCTTTGTTCCTAGTAGCTTCTTAACCTAGTAGCGATGGCCTCCAACCTACTTGAGACATGTTGCAACTCCTGGAGACAGTAGAACCCAGTAGAACTTAAAACGCTTGACGCGTCTTGATACTGCACTGTTCTCAAGTGTCTGTGCCAGCAAAAGCATTAAAGCTTCTGGCTGGCGCATAGCGCCTTGAGTTGTAAAGCCCAAGTGAACCAGTGGTTGAAGGGCATGGCGTCACAGGTGGAAGGGGCCATGTTGGCGAGAGGATTTCGGCCCTGCAACTACAATCGTTTCGTTTTCCCGTCAGTCTCGATGTCTGACATGGACCGTGTTCCATGCACCATGGACTGCCCTGAAATACCTGCGGGTGCCATGGCCCGGCTCAGCCAACAAAGTAGCATCCCTTTGAAAAGTCTGCGTACGACTCCAAGCCTCCTCAGTTCCTGCAAGCCTCTATTTCAGGTGTATATATATATATTATAGTATATAGCATTGTGACCAACACCAGCACCACTTTGACCACAAGTCTTGGCGCCCCTCGAATCACCGATTCAAGTTGGCCTTATGGAACTGTCTGACAAGGCTCAATAATGCAGGAAGCTGGACAACGTTTTCATCAAACTAGCTATGTGAGCCTCTCTGAATTTGAGTCATGAAGTTAGGGAGAAGTTGACATCAATTTCGATTCTTACTCAAAGTCGTCTGAAACTGAAACATGCCGTGTCACCACAATCTGAATCCGTGTCCCATCCTCCGGTGCAAAGGCAGCGCATGCAGCATGCATGCACAGTGCGCTTTTTCTGATCTGGCCATTTAATGGAAAGATCTGTTTGGAACCTGACAGCATCAAGTCCCTGATGCTGGCAGCAAGAGACAGGAAAACGTTGCTCAAATGCCACACAAATCGTGAGATCTGACTGTGCCTCAAAACGTAAGATCTATTTTGCTGGCAGTCTTCCCGTCTCTCGTTCTTTCGGCTAAGCTCCGACACTTGAAAAATGCTGGATGCATGATAAGGATGGGACCGAAGGACAAGAAACCCAGAAAACAAAATGGTTCTTCTGACAAAGGAAAGGATGTCTTGCGTGGTTTTGTCTCCCGGACTCCCACTGGACGAAAGATTTGGAGTTGTCATGATTTGCTGAGCCAACAGAACCACCACCCCTGACAGCAGCTCCGCCCTCGGGCTGGTTGGCTGGGTGGAAGATAGCCGGGAGCCTAGGCAGCGGTAGTCAGTAGAGCCGGTAGAGGACACATGACGTGCATAATTATATGCCTCAAAAACTGTGCAAGCTTGCGTGGTGACTGAAGCATGCGCGCCTTGCCAACTGCTGGGAACTATTGAATGCATGAAAGTCAAATCAGTGGTCCTTTGTTCCTTGGAACGCATGCCATACAATCAAAAATGAATATCCACTTGGGTCCTGCTCGTTCACGTTTGATGTGCGCTGTTGCCTGGCTGCCTTTTTGAAACCAACAGATTCTTAGGCCTCCGGGCTGTGTTCGACTGGCTGGCTATTCCCTGCAAAGAAGACGGCTTTGGGCTACGGCCTACTGGAAGGAGGCCTTCTTTTGTGGCTGTGCCATGCTGTGCCATGTGATTATCGATTTCAGTCGAATAATGATGCAATATCCTCACCCTGTCTAGCACTTCAGGATAGATGAAGAGTTGTTGTTTCTCGCACGCTCGAGGGTTGGGCAGCCCTGCGTGAGGGCCAGAGGCTCGACTTTCTCGGATCGGAGGTCCCTGGGAGCAAATGAAGCGTTGGGAGACAGCACACCAGGCAGAAAATCAGTGCCATCAGCATCAGCGCAATGAGTCAAAGAAGAACCAAAGGCGGTGTCAGGCTTCATCATCTTTCATCCAAGCTTCCCCAAAGCCGTCCCATGCCGCATCATGCGTCGTTGTGCCATGTGGAACATTGTGGAACGCAAGTCTTTGGGATCTGGGACTCCAGTTCTTGTTGAACATCCAGTCAGATCCGAAAGAACACAAGCTCACTGATGCTTTGAGAGGCCGGAGGTATTTGTTCGGTACTTCCTTCCATATCAGCAAGGGCCGCAAGGGTTTCCTCAAGGTCTTTTGTTCCATCATGTTCCATCCTGTGAGGTCTCATGTTCCTCGTGCGGACCATCGAAACCCACGCGTACGATCTGAAGAGCGCACCCAATGGCTCCAGACTGCGGGCCCTTGCGTCCTCCGCTCCTGAGGGAAAGGGATCTGGTTGGGAAAGCCCAAGACCTAAGATTACATCAATTACTTTTAATCCTAAGACCTAAGACCTAATACATCCTAATACCTATCATGTTATCCTCCCATCAATGACTTTTGATTTGATTGTCCCGCCGCGCTGTGTGCCGCATCTGTCAAACACAAAACCTAAAACCTACGCTGAGCCGCAGGCGAAGCCGATAAATTGCTTTTGGACCGTAGGCTCCTGACACGATGTGACGGAAGAAGAACGCAAGTACACGCATCGGCGAAGAAGAAAACTGCGGAGTCTTTTTGGGGCATCCAGTCTACCAGGAACACCCTAACAACCATGTGGCCCTTACGAGAAAATATTGGCGCTTACATCATGCGATTCACCCCACCACGGCTGAGGTCGCAGCGATGGGCCCGGAAGACCTGACGCGATGAGGCTATGAGTGCCGAAGAAGTACGGAAGTACGTACAGTAGTCACAAAGGTGTCCGACATGTATTCCTCGAGCAATATGTCAACCTCAAGGCTCATAAGGGCTTGTGGAAGCTTCACATGCACACGTGGATCTGTGTTGAAAGCTGTCAAAACACGAACAGTGGAATGAACTAACACAAATGAGAATCGCAGTCCTATAAAACATGACTGAAGAAGGCAAATAGGCAAAGCTCAGGATTCAGGATCAAAGGTGTGTTGCTGTTCGCTTCCTATCAGAGGGCATCAAATCGCTCCCCGCCACGAACACCAAACCAGACTCCTGAGAGACTCTGTCATAATCCCCCGTCTTGTTCAATATCTGCTCGCAATTCCGTGAGGCTCTGTCCACTCTGAATACTCTGGTGTTCGGAATGCTCACCAAAGCTTCTACAACTATAATGAGGAGTGATAAAGTGAGTGCTAATGATGCGTCCAAATACATCAAGTCCAAAGGTCCAAAGGACCCTCGAGTCCAAGTAACGTTTGGCGGTGCTCAGGTCATGACTTTTCATGGACTCTTTGTTTTCGATGGCATTTTGCCGAGAGGCACCTAGGTACACAAAGGATATACCAAAGGATCACAAAGCTACCTAGTAGGATCTAGTAGGAACTTCTACTCATGCCACGCTTGCCCTCCATCGAATCAACCACAAAGACGTGATGCCATTCAAGCAGGATCCTAAATACTAAAACCCTCGTTGATCCTTTCCTCAACGATGTGCAGTGTGCAGACCCTGGGTTTCTTGGAGGTTGGATATGATTCCCTCTTTGTTATCCCATCCAGCTTTGAAAGTGTTCAGTGAGAATTCAAAAGCTGAAAATATCAGTCGTCCATACCCGATTTTCCACGCTGCTCCCAAGGCCCGGTCTGCGCACTGCATCCCTGGCGAGGCATCTGAAGGTTGAAGGCCATCCTTTAGGGGTTGGAAACAGGACATGCAATCTATCCGACCTTACCTTGACTAGGGAAGAGAGAACAAAACATATCCTATCAACCAAATCCAGAAACTTCGTCCATCTCCTCCCTCTTGGTCGGCAATGCCGCTTGGGGATCTCGCCAGGGCAAATGCATTTCCCAAGCGCTGAAATAAGCTAAATGGTCATAAAGGCACCCAGTAGGAGCCTTCCAAACACCTGTTTTTTGCAGCTCGTTCCTTCTATGGTCCATTTTATGGTAGATTCAGATTCTATGATTTCCCGTTTCGGCCCGTTTCGGCCTCAGAACTCCCCTCTGTGAACCCTTCTCGGCCCTTCTCAGCCCCTCCGGTCGCGCTTCAAGGCGGTTGCACTGATGCTGCGCTTCATGGTCTCTTGAGGTGTGCCATCACCACCTTCAGCAACGCTGACTAATTACAGTGGTTCTTGTAGGCCTCACAGCTGTTCATAGCCAACACAGTATTTTCACTGGAAAGTCAAGGCCCAGATCGCCAGCTTCACCGGTTGGGCTGACCGCGAATGGCTGGAAGTGATAGGGATATATATATATATACCATAGCTGTCATAGCTTTGGTATTCTAAGAGGTATATAGGTGCAAAATGTGTTCAAACAATGTGACATTGGGTAGGTGCTCAGCATTGAAGGACAAGCACCTCGTGCAAATCTGAGCTTCTGACTGCCCTGCGACAATGCCGGCTGCATTTTCTGCCCTTGGATTTGTCAGCTTCAGGTATCTGCCAAGGAAAACGTTGAATAGCATCGTACAAGTATGGCTTCAGAGTCATCTGGAAACCTCTTATGTCAAAACGTCCTATGCTGGAGGGTCACATACAGTGCAAGAACACTGTAGCCAGGCCGGGTTGTCGGTATTCTGTTGAGGGTACGGGCTGGCTTGTGTAAGAAGCATCAGAATACATCCTTGGCAAGTGTATATAAGCTCCTCCAAGAAGATTGGATTGCTGGAAAGGATACAGGAACCTGACAAAGTCATCATTGCAAAAACCCATGGAACGCTGGTTCTAAAACAGTATGGTGTTGATTGATTTACATCCGCTTGCTGCATGTCATGGGCTTGCTGCATGTCCATGTCCATACCTCAATAAGAGTGATGACATTGTCTTATGCCACTGTATGAAAGGATGGGAATGGGCCCTCTGTATATAATGAGAGTGGGCCAACTATGCATACAGGTGAACCCAAACCAACTCGCCCAAATGAATGCACCAAACCAGGGTCACCAAGAGCACCAGGTCTTCTCATGTCTGTTTCTAAGGCTCCAGACTGGAGACGGTCCTTGATGGCTTCGAGCCTGACCGGAGCACAGGCAGGGCGAGTCTTGGGCCATGTTCTTTCAACGGATTGGGGTCAAAAATGCTCAAAAGGCCTGTCAACATAATTCAACATCTTTCAGTATCAGATTTGGTTCCAAAGGGGTCAACGTGATCCGCAGATCTTTGGGTCAATGTGTATCTTGAAAAGAAAAACCGGCCGGTCTTCCGTCCTTCAGCCCTTCCGAGGTTACATTCATCGACTCCAACGTGCGAAAAAAGTGTCCAACATCGTTGCCCTACCCCCGGAGCTGTTCTCCGGACCACTAAAAAAACGACGCATGGGAAAACGAGCACACCTGGAGTTCTTGGAGACCCATCAGAGCCTCCATGCCGAAGGCTCGGGCGTCTCCAAGACGCAATCGATGGTGGGATTGGTAAGGTTCTTAGCGCTGCCCTTTACTACGAGGAACAAAGAACGCTTCTAGGGGCAAAGGGCCTTACTACTAGGAACAAGGACGCTACTAGTTTCTTGCTACTAGTAGAAATGCACCTTGCTACTAGTAGCTTCTTGCTCCTAGTAGCGATGCCCGTTGTTCCTAGTAGCTTCTTGTTACTAGGACCTAGGATTCCTAGGTTTATGGTCTATGAATGGTCCGATCTTCTCTGGAAGAAGGCCTAGCCATGAATCTTGTGTTTTTTGGAAACTGTGAGCATCAGGTACAGCCTACCTGGACCCGGAGCATTGGCTTTTGCTTTGGGGAGAATTGTCCGTGTTCTGGGAGTCGTCATTATAGGCACCCGAGGGTCCTTCGGCCTTCGGCTGCAAACCGGAATCTCCGGAAACTCTGACCCATATAAAACCCCTCGTATTCTCTCGTATTCCGACCGAGTTGGGTGGTTGCATCAGCACCAATCTGTACTGTTGCTTGGGCAGGATGTCTACAAGTGCAAGCTCTCTCCCCATCGAAGAGATCGGTTGAAGTGTTTGCTCAAGTAGAAAACAATATATACATTGATCAAGTGTCACAGCCTTGCAGCTCTGACCACAAGGCTGGACGCGCAGGGTCTCGACCGGATTTTACCGACCAACGTTTTAACATAACCGATCTAAGCTGTGAGGAACTCACCTCACTAGTTGCCCATGAAGAGCGATTCTATAGAGTTGCCTCCACCTTTAGTGACTTTAGTGTTGAGAAATACAGGTCAGCAAGCTTCCAGGAATTGGAAAGCTACTAAATGAAAAGAACAACAAACACATTGAAAATTGAAAAACAAAATCAGAAACCCAAGTTTGGGGTAATGTTTATTAAAGAAAACAAGTTTTGAGGAATATGAAGAATACGACAACGATACGAACAAAATGCGAAACATGAACGGCCATATATTATTTTGTTACCTGTGTTGGTTCATATGTGTTGTCGCATTGCGTACGAAAACCGAACGAAAAAAAAAAAGAATCTAAATCTGTAAAGACTTATATATGATGTTCATAGTATTTCCTTCATGTTTTGTGTTTTGGCGGAACAAAAATGCAAAAACGACTCAATACGAAACAAAAACAAAACAAATATGATATTGCATGTTGCTGTTCGTGTTTCGTGTGTGTTGCGTTTCGTATTCCTGAAAAAGGTGTCATTTGTTGGTAGGTTTGAATCATATACAGTATTATGTTAGTAGTGTTTCTGTTATAAAGCATTACAGTATATACATCAATTCAATAAAAAGCAAGCTTCAGGAGTTCGTATGTCTCAACTTTAGTGCGCACATCATGGAAGGGGATGCGTGATGAACCCACCTGGAGGCATAATATGCACAAAAGCGCGGTAGTCGCTCCAGGGGCCCCAAAAAAAGGGGGAGACGGGAGAGGGTTCAAATTTGGAGTTTATTTCGTACCTGCCATACCTTTGTACCAAACAAAAATCTCCCGGCATCTCCTGTTCAGAGGCCAAACTCAAAGAAACAAACCTGAACCTGAATACCATTGAAAGCCCTGTTTGCAAAGGTGCTCTATCTGATTCATGTGAAACCCGAACACCACAACCCCGGCCTTGCTCATCCTGATCACTGGGACGAAAGATCTCGCTGCCTGCTGTGGACTCCACTTCTGGGGTTTGATGAGCCTGGCTGCTTGGAACGGAAAATTCACCGCGCATGATTCTTCATGTCAATGAACCTGAAGGGAAAGTGTCGCCAGAAAGTCAAGGTCATGCGGAAACCAAATGACCTTTCTGTGAAACCATGTGAAAACCTGAGAGTCCATGAAATCCAAAATGTCCATCGGACACAAGAAAATCGAGCGTCTTGGGCACTCAGAAGCAACATCGCACTAGCTGGGCCCATCCGTCGGTGCCAAACATGTTGGACGTTCGGTCGGTCAATCAAGTCTCGGCATAGAATCTTCGGAAACTTCCATCAGCAGACCTTCCATCTATTAGGGCCAGCAAACCCTGCCGTCAACACTGAAGCCACAGCACCCTGAGCTGCCCTACCATCACGAAACGACGCTGACGAGTGTTTAATTTGCTGAGCAAAGCCAGCCTCGCCGGGTGAATCTTCGAGGGAATTGATTGACCGGCCCAATTTGTTGGATAAGCTATGATGATTTGCCTGAGGGGCGGGGATGGTCATGGATAATGGTTAAAATATGGTGGATGTTCGTGGTAGTTCTTTGATGTCTCCTCTATGATGTTTACTGTAGTTCTTGAGAAAAGACCAGCCATTGCAGTAATATCCCTGGTGACCCTTCAAGCAACCCGCCAGAAGAAAGAGAACCCATATTTTATTTGAGGAGGCAGAAACAGAACACTGCCTAACAGGATTGAACAGAGTGTCTCCGGATTTCGAGGCAACAACAGCTCCCCAACCAAAAGCGACAGCAGGAGAATGACCGATGATAGGTGAGTGATGATGAGCAACCTATCATACTTCTGTCTCCAGCCCTTGAGGCCTAAAATGCCCAGCTTGCTGTTTCCCGCCGTTGAGGTTGAACGCCTCCTAGGTGGATTGTGGCTGGCAAGTCGGTCGGTGCTCGTCGGGGCAAAGTCTCATGGAGTGGTGGATAGTCTATCCAGACTAGAAAGTGACAGTTCGTTTGCCCCGTTCGTAGCTTCTTGTTACTAGAAGCGTTACTACTAGTAAGGCACTTGTTACTAGAAGCGATGCACTTGTTCCTAGTAGCTTCTTGTTACTAGTAGCTTCTTGTTACTAGTAGCGATGCCAGGAGCCCCTAGTAGCATCCTTGCTTCTGGTAGCATGAACACCTCCAAACAGAGCTTTGGACCCGTCTGAAATCCACGTCGAGGCACGTCCATCTGAAATCCACGCGCCACTGGTGAACTGTTAGGTTTAACGATTTAACATAATTATGTTTGTTCTTGGGTCCGATCGGATGGTTCGGCACAGTACAGATGATAAAATCCCCATGGAAATCGGGCCTCTGGAGCGTTGTTTACTGGTGCACGCAGGGTGTTGTAACTGTGTGCGAACCATCTGATCGGAGGCGGGGAGTGTGGGTAGTTATGCTGTCATCGGTATCATAGAACTTGTTATCGGTTTCACAGAACTTGTCAGTTTCATAGAACTTGTCATCGGTATCATGAAAATTGTCATCGACTGACTAGTCGTGTGATGAAAATGGGGTGGGGGGATGGTTTGGTTTTGTTATATATATATATATTGAATTGTCGATGACATGATACATGAGGTGATTGTATGGTATGATATATGCGAGGAACTTATTGCTTCATTGCTTTCTGTTGGAGTTGGTGTTTCATGTCTTCAACACAATAATGAACATGTTTCCACCTTGCTCAAATACTGCGTGCACCAATGCACCAACGAAAAACTGCCCTGATCCTCGAATTCCAAGCTGTTTTACATCATTGGAGGCACGCCGAACCACCCGATCGGCGCGTTGTTCTTACTGCTGGCAAAAGTGATGCTTTTTGTCGGTGGAGTGGCGCTGGTGAATAGGTACGATCAATGCACCAATGTGCCAGAGGTGTGTCCATTGCCAGTCAAGGCCAAAAAGCGTAAAAGCGACTGACAGGCATACTGAAAACCAATGTGGATCACTTCACCTGATCAACCCTTACTTCACCCTCATACTCACGACCACGAAGAAGAATATGACTATGACCACTGAGATCAAATGTCCCGAGCCTTTCAGATGAGATTGGGTCAAAACCAGACACCTACCAAAGTCCATGTCCCTGAATGATTCATTTCGAGGGTCAACCAGAGTGCCAGGTTGACCTACAAGCATGTTGGAAGCACTTCAAAGACTTCCATATTGGTTCTTCCTCTTTGGCTGATGCACCCCACCTGCGAGGCCGACAGCATGGAGACTTCATCCCGATCTTGGATCTCACGCACGGGATGCCTCAGTCTCTGTGAAGTCATTGGCAAAAAGTGCCAAAGGTTTGTTTCGATGGAAAACCTATATATACATTTGTAGTGTATACATATGCTTTTTCACCAAAATCCAAGAAATAGGATACACTATTTCTCGACCCGACCTTGCTGGGCACTCCCAATTCACACCCATTGGAACAGGAAAACCCTGCTGTATCCCTTCGAACTTCGACTGAACCATAACGATTCCAGTTTCCATTAGGCCCTGAGGTCTTCAGTATTGTACAGCCCAGTCATGATGCATCTTTCCACAACGTGGCTTTTGCAGAGACATGTCCTTGCATCTCCCTGCTAGGTCAAGGACTCCTCACAAGTCGTGACAGCTTTGCGAGAATGTGTCTCTGCACAACGAGAAACATGTCTTTGCTGCCTTGTGGCTTTGTATGTGGGTGTTCAAGCCTCTCTGTCGAAAACTACATCAATTGGCACGGCTTAGATGCAGCGTCTGAATGCGTTGTGCTAGTAGCTGCGCATCATGGGCTGTGCTTTCCTTTCCTTGGCTGTCAGCCTATGAGTGTTATGCCGTCCACAACTGCTTTGCATTGTGAGAGCCGCATTCCTTGACCATCTGCGCCATAGTGCTAGCCAGCTCTTGGATGTTCTCCAATGTCATCAGCTGGCGCCGCCGCGTGGCATAGTCGATTTTCTGAATCGCATCTTCAAATTCAGCACCCTTTTGCTGCTGGACCAACCTCTTGACCAGCACAAGACCTGCTTGGATTTCGGACGCGGCACTTGGTGTGGTGGTTTTGAAGAACGTCGCAGGATCCTTGGCCAGCTTTAGGCTATCAGAGGCAGATTGAGGATGATAATCCCTCAGCAGCATTTGCTCTCGAGCTTTGATGAAGTGCTTCCGTGCTTGCAGCAGTAGCCCGTAATCCGCCTGGGACATCGCAGCCAGCGGAGCCGACTTCCGCCCTCCCATCCACTCAGATTTGTAATGGCGCCATTCCGGGATGCCATAGACCAGGTCATGGAGCCCATCTGTGATGACATACCTCTGGCAAACTCCAGCAGGTAAATGTTCAGCCATAGGCAGCGCACTTTCAAGAAACGACGCATGTCTCGCTTGCCGGGCAAAGGTCTCTGTGACTTCGAAGCTCCCAAAGCTGGGAGATGAGCTCAGGAAGTCCCGCAACCAGCCCATGGCGGGTGCACGGTCACTGTGGCTGTGGCATGACCCAAGCGAAGGATGTGTTGACCAAGTAACAATTTCATGAAACATAAGTAAATCATCATCTTGGATCCACCCCAGCACCTGGCTTTGAGTATTCTCATGCCCTTTGTCCCTGCTGATCATATTCACAATCCCGTCATGGCCGTATCTTCTTGGCATTTACAATCCTGGGTAAAGCAACCTGGCTGATTCTTCCTGAGTGTTTGCATAGCATTGGCTTCGAACATTGATATGTCCAAGCTTCGGCTTGATTTTGCTGCCACAAAGAGGCCCAAGGCATTCGACGGTGCAGGGGTGCAAGGTATTGATTTTGACTTACTGTCATAAAGTTCAAGAGAAGTTGGTGACCTAAGAAGCACAGCTTTATAACGTGTTATAGTTTTGTCTTTCAGTACTCAGGGTAAGAACAGCAGCAGAAAGAACCGCACATGGCACAAAAACGATGGAGTGATGCAACCTGGGAGACCAACTCAAGCAAGCACTGTGTGTAGCTGGATCTGAAGCTCCACACTTGGTCTGCGTGCAGCTCGTATACCTCACCTGAATGCTGCTTTGCACAACGCGGATGGACAAGATGCTGGACCGAAGGAATCCGAATTGAACCATATTGAACCGCTGCAGGTAGTTCTCTCATCATTGTAACGAATTACTGTAGGCCCGTGGCCGCCCGTGGCCACCTCATTCTTTGTTTCTCATAGCAATGGCCTCCAACTGAATAGCGATGGGTTCAAAGACCTTGTTTGGGTTCCCAATGACTCAGACGATGTTCGATCCACCAAGTGCCAGTGACTTCCCGCCTGCTCGTAGGCGTCTTGCCCCTTGCGCCATCTTGCCTTGGAAGCAGGTTGAGATCCCACCTTTCAAACAAACCCAGAGGACATTGTATGAACAAAATGGAGGGCCAGCGGCCCTCTCCAAGAAAAGGACTTATATAACTTATACATACATGCATGTTTTTGAGGTGTACAAACTTTTTGGACATCTAAGTCTAAAAAACGATGAAGTGCAAGGGATAACCTCTATCTCTACCCTCCTTCCCCCTCCTTCCTGCGATTCTTCAGCTTGCGGCCATTGCAACGCCCATGGCCCCAGCGGTGGCGGCCTCGGTATTTTTTCGGTGGAAGGAAGAGTACAACTGGCACATGGGGCACATTCTCTCTGAAATCAGGCAGCCGCTTTGGCACCGAATTGTGCAAAGTGGTTAGGCTCAAACCTATGTGGCCCACACTGATGCCTTTGGTAAGTACCAAAGTACAAGAAACAAACAAGCTGCATTGCGCCAGCTGCAACTACCCACCCAGTTGCAAATTCCACTTGCAACTTTCAACGGTCAAGCCTCCACCTCCCCTGTTAATGGTGTGATTCAATCATAGAGTCGCATAGAGTCGATCAATCTCTGAACGACAACCTTGCCAGCCCTAAAAAACAAAGCTAGAACAAAACGATTCCAAGGACATACGAAAGGATTTCTGAGCATAGCTGAGGTGTGAACTCGGCAGCCATACACATCCACAGGTGCCGCTAGCCCCCTAACACGGCGCAGCAGTCACGCTAAAATGGCAAGCGTCCAACAAGCAAACCATCCCCACATATCCCCACCTGGTCGCACAAAGCAGTCGAACGCCTGCCTATCCCCGTCTCAGCTTATCCATGCTGATCCCACTTGGTCCCACTTATAACACAATGATAGGATGTTGCAAGGCTTACATTCATCCACCGTTTATCTTCAAAATGGCCCAGCGAAGTCTACGAACAGAAAAAAAAGAAAGAGAGAGAGAGAGAGGGATATAGAAATGAGAGAGAAAGGGAGAGAGGGAGAGTATGGCACTGGCATAGGCATAGGATGCTTGTTATCACAACCCTGTTCTAGATTTTGTCCTTACAGATTGTGTCGCAAGATTCGGAATGACGCAAACAGGATGCTGGAACTCATGAAACAAGCGTTCCATCTATATACATGTGTCACATTCTTGAGCCTGCAATGAAGGAGTCACTTTAGAGAATGTGATTCTCCTGTCGACAGTTTCCTCACCTCTCAGGTCCCCAAAGGCCTTTCATCCAACGACGCGGCTGTGGTCTGTGGTCGTGCCTGAAGCAAGGGTGGTCGTGTGGACCTATGGAATGCGTCGAGCCTCGGGATGTCTTTCCCTCAAAAGAAAGTGACCAAGGGGCAACTCTTCAATAATTGAAGTCCTTGATGTCTCGTGTATTTAGGCCGAACGTGCAACAATCAGGACGTGCCTTCCGCATGATCTTGATCCTCGGCGGGATGTGAGGTTGAACCAAGTCCCGGGAACTCCAGCAAACGATCTGCTCATTACAACCACATCGCCACTTCGCTCTGTCTGTACAGATCAGCGCCCATGCTGCCAAGCTTCCTCCTGATCTCACTGGTCAAACTCTGTCTCTGTTTAAGTGCAGCTGGCGGAAAAGGCATCAGATTGCTGTCGATGATAAGTCTTAGAGTCTTATTCAGCATTTCATGTACAAATTATATGTTGCCAAGGGGCAGAGGGTTGTCTTGCTCTTCTGGCGTGACCTCCTGGCCAGAATGCAGCCCATTCCAACAGGGGTGTCCTCGCACCTGGGACCCAACAAAAAAATCAAGTACTTATCCATTCGATTCCACTCGGTCTTATGTTTTGTGGCTGGGATGCCTACCTGAAAGCCGACAAAGCTTGGTGATCACCTATAAGACACAGTGGGATGCAATATTGATATGCAATGGAATGTCGAATGCTTTGATCCAGATCGGTCTTGCCAGGTGGTCAAATCCCCAATGGTGAGATCCTTCAGATCGATTCCGATCCTTGGGTCACAAGAATGTGGCTCAGCCCGGCCAAAGCTGCAATCTGGTGAACATGAAAGCGATGTAGCTATACATGCTAGCAAATGTCTTGTGAGCTAGCAGATGCAATCGTGACCTTGTGACTTGAACTCCTTTTCCTACGCCTTTGTAGATCTTGCGAGAACACAAAGGTCGCTTCTCCGAATCCCTCCACCGCAAGTTCGGTGCTCCTCTTCTTCCCTGAGCCAAGGAAGCACTGAGGAAGCACTGAGGCACAAGCTTCTCGCAACACGTGTGATTAAAGTATCAGTCAACGCCTGAGGGGCCTTGATGGATGCTAGATTGATCCATGCATGTGAACGCCTTTTTATTCTTGATGTAGAAATCAGACGTCTTGCAGATCCTTGCTCAGCACCCCGCTCACACATTCTGAAGGTCAGAGAGACGCAGCAAAGGCTTAGTGGTCTGCAAAAAACACTTTCCAGTCTATTCTCCATTCGCAAACTCCCAATATTGTTTTGGAGACCCATTCCCAAGACAATCATCGGCCCAATGGGCAGATCCTTTGAGGACAGTCCCATACAAGCAGGTAAATATTTTATATGTCATGTCCCTACATGCCCCACACAACTCCTGTGCCCACACCTTCTCAAAAGGTCAAAAGATCGGACCACCCTGAGGCTCCGTTCTTCGGGACCAGTGGTGCTAGCTTGGTGCCACTTCTAGAACTTCTGGACAAGCGCCTGGTCGGAATGAACCAACACAACGACCATCGTTTCGTTTGGAATAGATCGTTTTTTCCCTTCGGCACTCTTGTGGAATGAAATTCACATTATGACATGTCTGCGACTGCGAGATCGTAGGGTACAAAGATCAGACTTAGAGGCCCCGAAGTGCTAGCACAAGTTTCACAAAGTATACACCCCTGGTAAATCCTTGAACCACCTGTTCCTTAAAACCGATGCACAACAAGGAACACTGCACCCGATTCTAGGCTCCGATAATTGGAAAATTAAAAAGACGTCCGGCGTGGCTCCCCTTTGACGCCCGATGTATTCATGCTTTGACGGCAGCTGAGTGCCAAGGTTTTGAGCTGTCTGTTGATACTGTAAAGGTACCACCCATTTGGGGACGGCTTTCAACTCCCAACCTTCCTCACCATGAGGCTCTGCTGCAAGTGGGATTCAACTGGTTGATAGCTCCAACTAACGCATCAAAGAAAGGGTCGGGTTCAACAGTCTGCACTGCCCTAAAACAAAAGTTGCAGTACTGTATGTGACTGTCTGCTATTGACGGCAAATGACCACTGTCCGACGGTCCGACAGTCTCAAGGCCAGGAGCCCCTAGTAGCGTTCTTGCTAGCGATGCCAGGAGCCCCTAGTAGCTTCGTGTTCTTGTAAGGCCAGGAGCTACGTTCTTAGCGTCCTTGCTTCTAGTAGTAATGCACTTTGTCACTAGTAGCGATGCCCTTGCTCCTAGTAGCTTCTTGTTCCTAGGAGGTCAAAATCCCTAGCGTGCCACCCTCTCAAGACCCATCATGCTCTGGCATCGGCATTGTCTTGCCACTTCTTCCTCTGGAGTTTAAGACCCAAAGGGAGTTGTGTCAACTTGCACTACACTGTCATCAACACACAGATGTGTCAAACACAAAACAAAGGGCTTGCTACTTCAGCTTGTTGCCAACATGACGATTCGTACGATGAAAGAGCTCTGTCAATGGTCTTAATGACTTGGCAAATGACCACAGTCTGATTGGTTCGTCACAAGGGCGGTCTGCCCCGGTCTGCACCTCTGCTCCATTAAGGATTCGCCCTTTGGGCCGAGCCTCGAGGGTGACTTGGGAATCCGTAGTAACAAGAAGCTACGAACGGAACAACGGGCATCGCTACTAGGAGCAAGGACGCTACAAACGGGGCTCCTGGCCTTACTGCTAGTAACAAGAAGCTACTAGGGACCATGGATGAGTCATGGATTCCATGGATAGATCATGGAGTGACTACCTGCACAATCATCCAGTCATCCATCCATGGAGAGATCGAGATGGTGTTTGGGAGCCGAGAGTGTGCGTCTTCAGTTCAGTTAAATAGATGACGCATTCTTTCAATATTGAAATCCAGATTGAGCTGCATCGATGATCAATCCAAATAGGCGCTGCACAAGGATGCATGTGTCTCACCATGCTTACATGCCACTACATTCCTTTAAATCCTCTCAATACAATCAGGAGGAAACTATGAGTAAACAAGAATCGATGTAACTGTCCAGCACCTTGAAAAAGGCCTCACTTTGAGACGGACAAAAAATCCTTGCACGGATCACTTCCCTTTCGACTTTCTGGGCACTCTGCGAGAAGCCCCACTTCAACGGGTCGGCAGTGGCAAAGCCGCCCTTGGCGGCTGGGTTACCTGGGGCGATTTCGTCAGACCAAAATGCGATCAATATCCACTCATACTCCCAGTATTTACCGAAAACGGAACAACAATGTTGGTTTGCAAATCTTACGAGTTGAGAGTGCAGGAAAAACAGGTTGCATTTTCTGGGAGTGACCGACAAAGGCTTGATACCTTTGAGGAAGCAGTTGGCAAGCCATATTTGGCTCATGTGTTTGTTGATCTTCTTGCAAGAACAAGCGACAAAGCAGACTTCACGCGACAAAAACCAACTTGATGCAACTTGATTGGATCTTTTAGGCAGTGCTCCAAGACTGCTGCCCTCCACTCATCAGTTGAACATTCACTTGAGGGTCTTCACTGGCACCATTTGGGATAGAACTTTATAGGAGACCAACATTCCGCAAAGTTGAGATCTTGCGACAATTTGCAGCCCCGCAGCGTTCAGACACGTGAGCAGCTGACCAGGTCTCACCTGGCCTCACGTTGTCGGCCCAAGGTTTCAAGCGGAAAATGCGTTTCCCATTAAAAACCTCACGGGAAAACGTTTGGCCCCCCACCTCTTCAAACACAGCAAGTCAGTCAGTCAGGCGCCAAAAATGTTTCTTGATGTGTAAGCCACAAACTTGCAATTCCGGGTCCACATTCTCCCAGGTCTGGGCTGTTCTTTTCCTGTGCCTCTCTTTGTGGCCACTTTGTCGCGTCCTCTAGCTCATCCACGTCCGCCGTCCCTTCGTCCCTGCACCGAGGTCAAGACCCCAATGGCACAATCAAAGGATCGTTCCTCAGTGTGGATATTTCGGGAGTGTTGCTGTCTTCTTCGGACCTCACAAGATGTCACAAGTGACTGCTTGGTGAAAGGCCATTTGGGATGAAACAAGGAGCACAAGGCCTGTACGCGCCACCAATAATCTGTGTTCCAAACAAAGAAATCGTTCACTCGTTAATAGTCCTTAAACGCTCTGAATGAGCTCAACGAGGCATGCTGCTGTTCTCAGCGGGCTTGAACATGCTGCACAAGTGTGTCAGCAGTTTCTTGAAAAGAGCGGCATGATGGCGCAGGTGTTTCTTGAGACTTGATGTTCTGGGATGGAGGATACAAAGACACACAAAGACTGATTTGTGAAAGTTGGACTCTTCCAGAGAGTAAGGTCAAGCTCCCAACGAAACGAAGCGAGGCATGGCCAGGAGCATCTGTCCTCAGTCTTCACAGCCAGACGATTCAATCCAAAAGTGTGTTTTCTATTGTGTTCTCGCATCTTGAAGAATCTCGGAGCTATCAGCAATTCCAGCAACCAATCATCTCAGTTACCTATTGTTCCATTTATATAAGCTTTTCAGATCGAATCATAAGTGTGGCAAAGGCTCCACTGAGATCATTCTTTCGGGCAACCATCAGGTCATGCGTATTCATGTGTTGTCCTTCAGGTCATTGAGGAGCCCAAAACTCATTCGATTGCAGAGTCGCCCGGATTCAGAGTCACTCTTACCTCGACCAGCGTCCATTGCGCTCGCGCTTCTGAAAGAACTCCATGATGGCCTGGGTGAGTTGCCTCGGGCGATTGACAGACACTTTCATGCACAAGTCCGTCAGCAGGCTAACTCAAGTATCCATGAAGGGCAAAACTCTCACACCAATGCTGTGAGACTGAAAACGGACAACCGGGCAGGCATACAAACTGCCTGGAGGGCTCATTCAAACCCTGATAATGATGTAATCATGTTTTCCGGGAAGCGGGCCGTTTCTGCTGCACTGGTTTCAAAGGATGCAGAAAGGTCTCTCTTCTCAGATCAAGGCTTGCTAATGAAAAGGAAAAAGAATGGCAACTGCGCTCCCATGTGCACTGGGCACCTCAAATCACTGTGGCTGTCCACCCTGGAAAACGCTGTTGTCCATGTCTGAGGAACGTGCAACACTGTGAGGAACAAGAATGGTGACCGTCTAGTTCTTGACATGACTCTTTGGAAGTGGTGTTTTCCCTAGCCTTGGCCAAGAGCATGGTTTGAGCTTTCTGTAGCCTCTTTTCCTTTCAAACGAGGCGCAAATCGCAGGGGGAAACGTCCTGGATGAGGATCCGATGCCTGGCTGACCATCGGACTCCTGTTCTCCCGTTTTCTCCATGGGGTACTACAGTTACTACAGCTCCAAACGATCCCCCTTCGTCCAATGCTGCATTTCTTGTGGATTCCTCTTGAAAGTTTAACATAACATAACATAACGTTTTCCAACATCCGTCCGCAGCCTCAGAACTGCATGCCGGCAAACAGAGGCCTCAGCGGAGTGATCGTTGGTTTTGGGAGGCACATGCATAGCTTGACTCACCAGTGTAGAGCTGCATGCCTGGGCAACCGCTGTGAGCAAAACCCAAATTCTGTTGGTGGGTGATTGTACGGAGGTAGAAGGGGTTGCGCATTGGGCCTGCCTTAGACTAGAACCGGTTTGCTCTTCAGATCATACAAATATTTAATTAACAGTAGATATCAAAGTGGATCAAACACCCCACATGAGAGAGCCCTAACAACAAGGCACCGGCCAAAAGACTTTGGACGTCAATGGTTTCGGCAGTGAGATGATCCTGCGCACTCTTCTTGAGGTTTCCCACCAATTTTGTGGTGTCCAATTTGGAAAACTGAAAATATCATGGAGAATCTCGGCTCTGTCCAAGTCGCCTCAGCCCACCATCTTGCAATGACTTCCATGCTCTTTCTCCCGAACACGACAGGAGTCCACCTCTCCTTGTCGTGCATTGACCAAATGCGAGCCTTGGCATCAACCATGGCTGGCAATCACAAACATGCCAGGAAAAATGATGGATTCTTTTAATTTTGCCTTTTGTGGACCCAACAGTGTTCATGCCAATCACTGCTGGAATGGACACAAGTAAGAAATGCACGTTCAAAAAGGTATATCATCAATACAAGAATCAAACCGTGCTGTTTGACCGACCTCATGGCTGTGGAGCCCTCTCATCACACTTCTCATTTGGTAGCTTATGACGCTGCTTAGGCCGGTGCATTGGTGTTCTTCAGAATCCTCTCCATGGCATCAACCTGCTTTTGGCCTTGATTCACCCAGGAAGACTAACACAGTTCCCAAGCAATTGAACGGATAGCCGAACCAAAATACGGAAAGAAAAAAAGCCAGCTTAATGTGAATGCTAGCCCACATGCATCACACGAGCGTTGGGGAAGTCCACCACATTCAGAAACCTTAAAGTTCTTTGACGTCGCCACGTTGCAATGACGTCGCCACGTTGCAATGAAGTAAGTGCGACACATGTGGACAATCTAATTACGAATAGTAACATTAAACAGACACGCCGAGAGAATAAAGGTGTTTCTTTTGGGAATTTGGTATGTTTGAATCTTCTTTGTGCATCCGCGATCCATGCCACGGTCTGAGTCCGCCACGGTAGACTTCACGCCTTGGAGTCCCCACCCGGAGTTTCTTTGAGACGACAAAAACTGCTCGTTCCTCAAAAGTCCGACCTCGCAAGAAAGCATTGGGTGTCTGCAGTGTCGGGAGTCCGCACAGACCAACCTATTGCCCATCACGAAAGTGCCACAGGCGACTCTTGTCGATGTTCCAGATCGATTGGAGGTACTCAACATGGACAGCAACCAATCCAGCTGGATGTTCTGCCGGCTTGGCCGTCTTTGCAAGATTTCATCTGGCATGGCTGCCAACAAATGCCACTTGAACAAAGCCTTCAAAATCAGAGTAGGCCATGAGCGTGTGCACTACATTCCCAATTAAGATTACGGTAAAGAAAATGAACTGGATGCTGATGGAGAGCACGTTCCGAATCTAACTGCAAGCCCGACAGCTATTCAACCCACTGTCAACAAGGAGGGGTAGTGCCAAGCAGCTGTCGTCACAAACAACACGCCAATCGTTCCCAGTTCGCTGGCTCGACAATCAGGCTGCGAGGATGCCACATGTCACAAGCCATACTGGTACGGGTGGAATTCCAACGAGTGTCGGCCACCGGAAATCAGCGGAGGAGCCTTCGATGCTTTGCAGTCACCCATCTCTGCGCTGCTCGGGCCGCTCTCACCCATCTCTGGCTCCATATCGTGCTTCCGACATAACTGGACCACGAGTCACCTTCAGGGTCCAAGGGTTGGCTCAAGAAGCATCTCGACAGTCTGCATCTCAACGGCATTTTACAAAAGCACGCACTGCACGCGTATGACGGAGAACCCCATGACATCTTCAGAGCCGGTGTCGTTTGATAGCCCACGTGTATATAAGGGGCAAATATGCCACTTCCCACTGATGCATTGCATGTGTGGGTGACATTGTTAGTTAGGAACAAACCACGTCAAACGGCGCACTTCGCTGGCATATGACTGCAGCTGCCACCACTGAGGCCACTCTGGCCGAGCCACGTTGGCACTATCTGTGGAGCAGGATTCGGCCACTGTCATGCCTCACCACTTCTCGCGCCCATTCTTGATGGGTCACACCACTGGACAGCTTGTTCGCAAGCGGTAATTTGTGCGTCTCGGGGCTTTGTACAGGTCTCAAAGCTACTGCCCACATTGCGGAAGACTGGAGACTCAAAGGAACATTCGTCGTGTGCACATCCCTGGATTTTGAACCATCGAGAGCTTGGCTTTCGCTTCTCTCTCGGACCCGAAAAGCTATGAGAAGTTATGAACATTGGGCCAGCACCTGCGGTGTGGCACCGATACCTAAACCATTCGTGTCAACCAAGCCCACCCCCTGAGTCTGAAAATATCTGGCCACACGACACGAATGTTCCTTTGTATCACTTTTCTTCTCAAGACATATATATATATATTATATATATATATATATATACCGACCTCATGATGCCCTTCCTCTCATCTGAGTTGCAAGGTCCAGGCAGTTGATATGTTACATATGTTCATACTTTTCATGACCATGCTTTCTCGGGTGAAGGGACTCCTCCCTAGTTGAAGGGTGAGCACAAAAAGTGCCACCATGACTGAACGGCTGGGACAAGCTGAGCTCCCAGCCATCCTTTTCCTCCGCCAGGTGGTGGTGGGCCCACCATGTCTATCTGGCCAAGCGACACCAAGCGACCAATCCCCCATCGGGTCCAGAGACGCAAAAGAGAACAGAAGTCTGCACAGCCAAGCTCGTGTTGTTTCGTGCATAAAGCTACCCCCTCAGCATGGCGCCAAAAGTTCATCAATGTTGAACTTGGGGTTGTACCAAATCATCTCCTCCAAGACACCACCCGTACGCAGCTCAGAAACAAAAAGAGACGCTATCACATGAAATACTGTCCTTAATAGCTTCTTGCTACTAGTAGCAAGAATGCTCCTAGTAGTACGGCCAGGAGCCCCGAAAGTAGCGTCCAAGAAACCCTAGGTGAACACGGTCGATCCGCTGGAAACTCCACGTACTCTCTGATTCGGTCCTTCTCCACCGAATGAGGACTCCCTCAGAAAAGACAACAAGTGAGGCATGGTTCACTTTGACGTGTCGAGAGGAATCAGGGACTCACAAGGTCAACAGAATTGGAGGGAGTTCAGTTCATCGAGACTTTTCAGACACTCAGCTCTCATTGTGGAAGTTCATCAGTCCTCTCTGATCCGTTTTTTTCTTCTCTAAAGTCTAAAGTGCGCAGACTCTAGGGCTGGAGCGGAGCAAAATACGCAACACAGCGCCACAAGCATGGCCACAGGCGATCATATGGGCTGAATGAACCCTCAGTTTCAGCACATACGCGTGCGCAGTTCAGTCAAGTGCTCTTATGGCCTGTTTACAAAGACGTCGAAGGTTACACATGTCGAAGGTGAACTCATACTTTGGCCACTTGGCCCCCCAGCCAAGGCAGTTCCACTAAGAGTCACGAATAAGGTCCATGCTTGAGCTCATCCAAAGTTTGGCAGATTAGATGCCAATCTTGGAAAGCCCATACCTGGGAATTGACCCAGCTGAACAACAATCATTCCAACAAGGCCCCGTAACATCCTATGACATCATCACAGCATACATCCACGCATTCTGTAGAAGCCAGGATGCACATGTGAGCGTCAATCACTAGAAACGACCTGTTGCTGAGGGTCGGAACATCCAGAGCCACAGAGGAGTCCATGTTCATCTTGCTCCTGTCGATACTCGCGATACAGTCCGTGAAAGGACCCCAGCATGGGCCAGCTAGGTTGACTTCTCTCAGGGTACATAAACAGCACCCATCCAGCAAGCACAAGCCCAGGTTCAAAGCGATGGACAACGCGCCTGCCAAACCCAGGGAAATCGATCATCACCTTCAGAATGAGCTGGTCGACTTGATAGACATGTCAAGGCTTAATCTTCCTCTCCCATGTTTGGCTGCAAAGCTGGAAACCAAAGCGCTTTCAAGATTGGGAAACAGGGACGTCTCTAAATGAATAAAGAGGTGGCTATCACAAGTAATGAATTTGCCAGGTCAGGAAGGTTGGGCAAGTCCAGAAAGTTAGCAAGTGCAAGGCCATCTCATATGCATGATATGCCAAAATCGATGCCTTGCTTTTCGTGCTGAATCCGAGCTCTGGGGTGCCCGACCACCGAAAAGCCTTTCATGTAGAGAGGACGCCCTAGCTTCACCCACCTGACAAAACTTGACTCAATTTGTGATTCTGAAAAGCACCGACTCAGAGCATCTCCAGAAAACGGCTTCAGCCTTTTACAGAGCATCCTCAACATGCCCTTAAAGCAGCTGTTGGCAATTCATATGATTCTTAGCCATCACGGCCTGGTAAGAAATCATGAATCCAAGAGCCAATGCCATTCGGAGATTGCATTGTCAGGGCTTGGGAGGGATCCGAGTCCAACCCGTGTGGACTGCATTGCAAATGCAGAGATTGCTAATCAACACATCACAGATTTGAAACTCGTCTTGCTCCCCATCCGACGGGTGCACAATGGTGCACATCTGATACTCAGCGAATGTTTCTTCAGGTCGCCCCAACAACCACTGAGTGGTCGCCACCAACCACCCCGGCTTCGGTCTCAACCAGCTCTTCACGTCTTCCGGTCTCAACCTCGACCCACAGGTGGGTCGACCCCATTCCAAGCCACGTCCAGGAACTGGTCAAGGGTGGCTCCAGACCTGAAAGACACCCAATGATTCTCCAGGTTAACCCAAGCGCGATCTTGGAGAAAGGGACCTAGAAATGTGGTCAAACGTCCCGTGTGTCAAGAGAGATCCGAGCTGCCAAATGCTATATTTGGGGAAGTGGAGATGCATTTTAATGAAACCGACTTTGCTAGGAGCAAGGACGCTACTAGGGGGTTCCTGGCCTTACTACTAGTAACAAGAAGCTACTAGGAGCAAAGGGCATCGCTACTAGGAGCAAGGACGCTACTATCAGTTTTCCTTCATCCGTGAATTTGTCGAATGAGTTGCAACCGACCATACACCCAATCATGAGTTGACCGCCTCATTTTGCCCAAGTAAGTCTATTCCCTGGTCAGTAGGCAATGTCCTAATTAGGCGTGGCATGAAGGCTGCTTGTGAACATGCAGAGATTGTGAACATGCTGTTGTGAAAGCCAGCTTCAGTGCCCGAGGCTGAAGCTATGTAGAAGCATCGCAAAAGGACCTTGCCTGCCGTCGTCAAGCCGTGCAATATTGAGAGATGAACTTAATGCACTGTAAAAGCAGCCATCTTATTACCCCCTTCTGTTCATAGCGCTGAGTCAAAAGAAAAATGCCGTGCCACTTGCAGGACTATTCAGCTGCGCTGGTGCGCCCGTGTCTTTGCTTTGCTCTTCCCAAAATTAATGGACCTTCTGGTACAAACATACAGATCCACAAATCATCAAGAGATATACACTCCTCTATATGGTTCGGGCATGTCTAGAATCATCACCACCAAGAGCATCCGATGTACACCTCATCCATGAAGTACTGCTGAAGTATGCCTATAGCAACCCGGCAACCTAGCTATCCTTTCTGCAACAAACATAGACACTGACATATACACACACATACACGTGCGGTTCTGTTACTTTGGTTTTGTCTTTTTGACTATGCTTGACATTCGAACCTACCTGGGCTCGGCTATTCCAGATGTATGGTGAGGATTGCCGGGAGCAGCTAGCCTGTGCTTCAGTTGCTTGGCCTGCGGCTGCCACAAGCAGCGCACCTGAAGTCGAGCGAAGCGTTGCCACGCGTCGAAGAAATGCAAAAAATGGTGATGCAAAAGAGAACTTGATCCCACGCACTGTCCTTTGCAAGTAGGATTTCTTACCAAAGACTTCACCCTGAAAAGGAAATGGATCAACATAGGCCATCATAGGCCGGCATGGTGATTCGCAGTTTTTGTATCTGGTAGCTCAGTTCGCAGCATTGATCTGGAAAGTGTCCTCGCCGCGAGATTGCAAACGGATGGATGTACAGTAAAAGGATCATGCCGGACTGTGGCCCGCAGAACCCAGGCCCACAGTCCTTCATCCCTGGCCCCAGAACACACATTCAGATTTTTTCCAGGTGAAGCATGACATGGCCTTTGTCTTTCCTGGAACAACGTCCCAGTAGCTGAGCGATCGTCACGACATACAGACCATGTCATGCAAGCTTGACGCCGAAAGCCCTGCGCAAACCTGAGCTAATGTGAGCTAATCTTGTTTTGATTAGGCTACTTCAAAGATCTCTGAAGCCATCACTGATTTAGGAAATGAAAGGACCGAAATCATGTTCCCTCTTATAAGCCAGGATCCATGAGTCTGATAGCTTCTTAGCCGTAGCCTCGCACAGGGCTCTCTATACGCGACAGAGACCTGGAAGAGCAAACGCGAAATCACCTGGCCATGAAATCACCTGTCGTTCTTGACGTCGTGTTCTTTCTCAGAGGAACCCTTGTGCTGGACACCAAAGCATCGCCCCCAGGTCGGTCAGCTCCTTGATGCTGAAGCAAACCGTTTCACAGGTGAGCTCCTGAGAGTCCAGCTGAAGCTGACCCAGCGGGAAAAGTGGGATGCGAAGGACAGATGTAGGTCTGGCTCAAACGCTCAAACCTCCAATTCGCCAAAGTCTGTATATAGGTCTGGCTAAACGCTTTCTCTTCTGGGTTGCTTTGTGCAAGTCCCCATGCCTTCCGGTAGAAGTGCCGCTCCTGGCATAAAGACTTCCATGTTTGTAACAAACAATGGTCTGCTGCTGGCCTAGTTTTTAAGATCCCAGCCTTCTTACATAAAACAGCAAGGTGTGAATCAAGACCCTTCTGTGGCACCTGCTCGAAAAACTCTCTGCTGGTTTAAAAGGGTCATACTGTGGCACAACTGGGGAACCAACAGAGTCGTGCTCACTTCATTTAACCAGCTATGGCTATATACTAGGAACAAAGGGCATCGCTACTAGGAGCAAGGGCGCTACTAGGGGCTCCTGGCCTTACTACTAGGAGCAAGAAGCTACTGGGAACGAAGCTCTTCGACACCTTCTCTTTGAAGAGCTCGCCCCACAAGGCACACCTGCGCCAAGCCAAAGACAAGGGCCACAGGTAACAGCCACAGTGGCAGACCAAACAAATGTGCGGCTGAACCCAAACTCCTTGGTCAATCCCATGCCATCAGACGGATTTGGGAGGCCCAATCGCTTCCCTCAGCTTGGACAACTTTCGACTTCAGCTTGGAAGGGAGGCATCGCTTTTTCGTCCATCCTTCATGATTGGATGGGGCGTCCCTTTTGGGGCCGCATCGCTTCCCTGGGTTTTTGCAAATTCTCAAGATTGGTTCACATTTTCTGCTCCACATTACCATGGGTTGCTCGCATGACTTAATGCTGGCATGGCTCAATGACTGGTCTTGTTATCAATTGATATCCAAAGATCCACAACTTTGGCCTCTTTTGTGAGCCCTTGTTGCGTTTCACTCAACCCATCACGCATCCAAGGTGCCTGTCTGATGGCTCATCCATCGCTGTGAAGACCTGCAGCTGAGTTCGATCTCCCACGCCGAACAGGTCGGAGTCTTCGACACGAAGAAAACACTGAGTTGTGAGAACTGAGAACAAGTCTTTTAGATGAGTCATATGGCTATATGATACATAACATATTGCACATGTGGTACATCATATACCATATATTCATTAGACTTACTGCAATATGATTATAACACTATATATATATGTATATACATGTATACAACATCATAGAACATTCTACATCTCGATGCTGAAGAACTAGTCTGCCTCTCCGCCCACATGGCTAATCTCATAGCCTGGCACTTGGCTGAGACGGTCTTCAGACCACGATCCGATAGAACCGGACCTCCAAAGTCGAACAGCCAAAGACGTGGTGAAGATTGTGCTTAGACCACTCCAAGCCTAGCGGAGTGTCCACAGGTCGAGATTTCACCAACCCATGCCAGTGGACCCGGCGGAATCGTCCCTGGAGACACACCCGTCAAAACGGCACTTCTTGGACAAAACAAGGGCCACAGCGCTCGTCGGCTTTTTTGGCGCACCAACGCCACAGCAACAAACTTGCCAGAGTGCACGTCGGGGCTGCATAGAACCTGCAGACATAACCATTGGTTCGCATGTGCTCAGGCGTGTCTTCAAACAGATATGTTCGGCATATTAGAGGATGGACCAACCTGCGGGAAGTTCCAGAGTCCAGCTGGGTATTCAAAAACGTACAGTAAGATACAGAGTAAGAGTAAGATACAGTAAGTATAAGCGTGTGTGTGTGTGTCCGCGAGTGAGCGAGCGAGCGCACGTGCGCACTGGCGCGCACTCCCTGCCAAAGCTTAACCACTAGATCTTCCTCTTTGTCCAAGCAACGTCAAGCGACAACCTTTTTCTCATTTTGGTTGGAGGCCATCGCTATTAGGGTGTCCTTGACTGAAAAGTTGCACCTTGAAAGGATGGATAGTCCACACTAAACAGAAGTCCAGCCTCAAGTGTCGTTGCAGCGCATGGCGGCGCATCCATATGGAACGCACCTTTTATGCGAACTCCACTTCATCCAAGCTGACCCGGTAAAGTGAATGCTATCTTCAGAAATCATGATCACCTGAAACTCGCATGAGCAAAAATATATGCATCGTGTGCCTTCAATGATACAAAGTGATGCTGCTCAAATAATTAATTAAGCAATTTGACCAGAGTCCTTAGCTGCTGCAACAATGCGACCATTCTGCTCGACGGCCACGGAATCCCTAAAGTATCTTCAGAAGAAACGAAGCTCCCACGTTCGTGGGTCCAAGTTTCTTGAGCCAAGAAGTGTCGACAGGGACAACAACCGAAAGGTAAAATCGGGAGATTGACCTGGCTTAGTATTGTCATTGCAACTTCACACTTAATGTTAAGCTCAGGGCGAAAGTGTGAAGGCTTCGCGGTGCGTCAATGAGGATTTTGTGCTAGCACTCAAGAGGTCGGTTGCCAATTTCTCAAGTGAAGCAAGTTAGGTGGGCACAGAGCAACTCCAGGGGGGGAAGACCCCCGTGTGACACGACCTGGATGGTGAACATGCGTTTGTCGTCATTGTCGCCAAAACTCGGAGAGTTCCAGCTCTCAGCGCTTGGACAACGGTGAATGAATTCCAAACATGCCTCCTTCTGAAGAAGCTCTGCACCGAAAGGCGTTGGTCCATGCACTGACTGGACCGAAATGTTCTGTTCCAGGCAGCTAGACATCCTCAAGCCAGGCAAACTTTAAGGATCTTTAATGTATTAAGCAGGCGGTTTCTAAATACAGCTCAATACCGGAGGCAAACAGGCATAAAACACAGATAACACCGAATTTGGTTTGAATGAGTATGGCATTTCTCCCATGAGTTGAGCTCCGAGAGAGTATTGTAAGATAAGTGCCACAGAAAATCAGAGCAAGTCTTTCTTCGCTCCATGCAAATCCAAGTCTTTGTAAAAGCAAAGGTCCTGAGGCTTAGCGTCTCAATTATACATAATTATATAGTTATATATATATGTATAGTTATGTGGTATGATTCGACTATCAAACATATCTAACATATGTTCTCATAATAGTGACCTTCAATATATTTCCAAGAAACGCTTCAGTACCACGGTGGGCATTTCCCGAACAGTTATCGCAAAACATGTAGTTTGGTCAAAAATCCAATGCTTTGTCAAGCATAATAAAGCCGTATTTTGATGTACTTTGTGATGTTCATTGCATCATTCCATTTGATTCAATTTGCAGAGGTGCGAGGATCCTTGCCAGGTCAGTGAGAATTTATTTCACCGACGCCCATGTGCAACCACGTTCAGAAAGCACCCACACATTTACACCGTGAAAAATCGTTGAAAGAAGCACAACTTGCTCTTACGACTCTTCCATGCTTCGATTGATAGGTCGTTCTTTCGACGCTTGTTACACAATGAGCCCCCACCTGGAGCACGGGCCTTTGCTCGCCCGAACACCTGTGTGCAAATATCCAGGAGACATGCCGAGATTGAAAATGCGATTGCTAGTGCAAAAGCAAAGGGAAATTCATGAAAAGATATGAAAAGTATAGCAACTACTTCTTAGAGGGTAGACCTTGACTGATAATTCTGCGCACAGCATCTAGGAGGGTAGCTCTTCACATCTGTCACAGCTTCGCCGTGTAGAACTGCAATTATATATATATATATGCACTTATATACACATACTGCATATATATATATATACAGTATGTGCAGAAAGCTTGTTGAAACCCCCGTGATCAGATCTGGACTGCCAAATGTGGGTTGATGACTCTGGCAAGTCTTCTATGAACGCGGGGGGGGTCCCTGAAAAGCAGATTATGTTCGAGCTAAACAACGCCTGCTGGCCTCAGAGGGAATATGTCGCGCCTTTGCATCACCAAGACGTAGCAGGGCATGATGAGCAACGCCATAATGGTGGTGACTGTCACAGACCTTGGTGCAAGTCATGATGCTCATCATCGGGAAAGTACAGCAGGCGTCCTCATCAATGAATATAATGAATCTTGATGAATCCAAAATGGGTTTTCAATGGGTTTCACGCGTAAGGTGGGAGTTTCTCAAAGATGTTACTCTTGCACCGACTTTCTTGCATAAGCACACCCTGTTCGGTTCGTGCCTATGTAAATTGACCTGTGGTTTCCTTCCTCGCGTCTCTGTGCCATAAAACGTGCGTCGCTGTAGCCTCAAAGGCCGCCCGACACCTTCGCACGATTCACGAAGAAGGCGATCGCCGAGGCCTGGCGCAATTGGCGCATCGGGCCAACTCCGGGCAGAGCGCTCGGGCCAGAGACTTCTATCAGACAAGAGCGCATTTCAACCTTTAGGAGAAGAGAGAGTGAGAGAGAGGCAAATGTACTCGAGGTGTCCGCGTGCGGCCTCTCTGACCAAACCCCCACTTCTTCCTGTCGACACCGAACACAGCAGAGTTCGTCTTCCGCCCAAGTTGGTCCAAGAGACCATGCACTGCTGGAAGGTGAAATTGGCGAAGGCCGCATCGATCTTCTGGGCGTGCGATTTCAAGGAGTTTGGTGTTCGAAAATGTGATTTCATTTCGTCTTAGGCGTGGGGTGGGGAAAATCAAATAAGTGTGGCCATCGTAGATATATAGAGAGAGAGGGTTGAATATGTACATGTGCATATTTCTTATGATATACAATTATATATATACATACCTTGCACCTTGTGGCACTGCAACTTTAATTTACTAAGGTTCTTACACGTCAAACCTTGCATGCTCCAGCACGGTTGGAGGGTTAAGAATCTGATCGTCTTTGTGCTGCACACCCCAAAATGAATGGTAGTTGAGAATAGGGAGCGGGGCTTGCCTCGAGAAGATGTCATCTCTGTGGAAAATTGCAGTGGTGACATCGCCAAGCAATGATCATTACTCTAGCAAGCAAAGATGCTCCAGGCATGATGTCTGAATCATGCCAAGTCTCTTTCCCACGGTAGAAATCCGCTAATGCTGCGCGATTCACCGACTCATAACCTGAGGAAGCAATTCAAACAGAAAGAGAAGTAGATTTCTCAAAGGGCACACGATTTGGAAAGGGAAGTAGAGTCTGGACAGAACAAATCTTGAAAGCTCAAGCTAGGTGAGAAAGTCTTCAGTAACACCTGCCTTTGGATGCCTTCCGCGGGCACACCCAACCCGCCCCTGCCGGCCCTGCCCCTGACGCTAGGAGACTTCCTCGGCCAAAGCCCCAAAGGAGGTACGGCAGGAAGAGCCAGGCAGCCTCAAATCGAAAGATGTCAAAGACCAAAAGCAAGTGCCGGTGCCACTCAATTCGTTTCACTGACTACATATATACATCGCATCAAAGGTCTGTCTCAATCGGCTTATGCATGAGACAGACCAGGTACAATCAAATGGCAATAAAGCCTCTGTGTGTGTAGGTTGTCTTCAGACTGTTGACAAAATGTTGAGTTTTGCAGCATGCCAGGGATGCACTCTGGACTGGTACCAAGGAAGACGCCAGTGGGATCGATCTGTGAAATCGATCTGGGATGTGCTTCATCGACGTATCGGTTTCAGGGCTTGGAGCATTCACGTAGGTATACACCCATCTCTAGTGTGGTGTGTGTGTGTGTGTCTCCCTGGTATCCGGTTTGCATCATGTCACGTGACATATCTTTTTGGGCACCATCTTCAAGAACAACACCTAATTTGTGGATACGCTTCCGGAGGCCCACAGAAAGCAGCTAGAGTGTTTGCATCGTACTATCACAAGCAGCAGCAGCAGCAGCAGCAGCAAGAAAATGCTCATACTGCAACAGAATGCTGAATTACATTTATACCGACGGACTGAAAGATAGAATGCCCTGTCATTTCACCAACTCACGCTTAGAATGCCTGAAAATCCCAGGGTCCCCGGGCAAAATCTCCCCATCTTAGAATGCCTTCGCACAACCTACTTAGAATGCTTTTGGGGGGGGCATGTCTATCTTTCAGTCCGTCAAACACAGAGAACAGGTCAAACAGCTTGCAGAACACACATCCACACACACACACACACACAGCTTCCAAAGCTCTTTTCACCCTTTCCCGTTGATCGTCCTTTGATGTCCTTTGCAGAAATGGATTGGGGGAGGTTGTCTCCCATGTGAATTCTTCATTGTCATGGCCTACTGGGAAGGCAAAATTGAAATGACACCTCACTTTTTGCAAAGAAGATCTTATATACAGAACTATATGCACAACAGTACTTGGAATCTTAGAATGCCTTCCGGTTCATTTGCCTAAAAACTGTTGACCTTGCGAATTCAGGATAGAAACGCATGCGGAGTAAAAGGCCTGGGTTTGTCATACAATCACGGTAGACAAGAACCATCATCACGGTGGCAATTTCCTCATTGTATCCCAATCATACTCCCCTTCCATATATACACATGTACGTGTATATGTCCAGGCCTGCAGGAGATCAGGCCCCATCTCCCATCATTTGACGCCACAAGCTTGTTGCTTGGCGCTGACGTCCAAAAAACTTATAGGCAGGAAAACTATACCGCCCCACAACTTTGGCAAAAAAGAAACGTTTTCACAACCAAAGCAGCCCTTTAATGCTGCCCTGCCAACTTGCGACACCGAGTTTTCCTGCCTATTTAGAATGAAACCACGTGCTCAACCAACCGCATACCACTCAAAGATGGTCAAACGTCTACAAAATGTAATCTCAGCCTCACTATCTTCACTGCTCAAGTTCAAGCTGCCAAACAAATCCTTGGAGCGCGATCGGAACTTTGGCTTGAGTGGGGTTCATCCTGTGAAAAAAACACAGAGCGGGTGGAACTAGCGCACCGCTTAGAATGCCTTTCCATGAGCCCAGAAGAGGTTTAGCAACAATACATGGTCACACATTGAGAGTTGTCTCCCAGAGTGTCTAATTTTGAGTCATGGTGTTTGTATAAATATATAGATAAATAAATGCCGCTGTTTTATGCCTTTCCTCTCGAGAACAAACACACCAAACAACCCAAAATATGTTGGCATTTGTTTGCCAAAGTTTCCAAAGAGTTTCTCTCGGAGATCCGTGCAAGACTGAGCTTTTTCTGCTGATCGCCAATGAAACCACGCAACCACTCAGCCGCTTCCACATCAAAGCCTGTCCAGCGTAAGCTGTGCATCCTTGACTTTTTCCAGCTGCCGTACCCTTGGAGCACCATGGGAGTTTTGCTTTATATGCACTATATATATATAGAGTAGTATAGTGGGTGTACATTCCTTTGGAAAAGAACAGTGGATGAACGGCTTAGAATGCCTTTCACTGAGCTCAATGACTCAATGATTTATGTTCATGTATTGGCACTTGTCTACCAAAGCCTGTGGAAATTTGTCTCATGGGTCATAGGGTAATATATATATATATAGATGGTACGAATTCCTTTTGCATGAAAGAACAAGTGATGGAGAGCCAGTGGGTTGCTTAGAATGCCTTTCCTCCTAAGAACAAACACCCCAAGCTACCAAAGATATATTGGCAGCAATGCCCAAGTTTCCATAGAGTTTCTCGCGGAAATCTATCGACGTAGGCGGTGAGGATGCCCTTGATACACAGCAGAAGTGCTTCGGTTTCGGTTCTGCCGGTATTTCCAGACCACGAGAAGGATAGCCCACTGTGTACTCCTGGCGTGAATCCTTGCCACTGATTTGTAGTGGTGTGGCACCCCAAGCAGATTCCCGGCAATGCTGTCGGCAAATCAACTAGGCCTTTGGAGGCAAGCTTCACATATGAGGCTCTGTGCATGAAGGATTTGATGCGGGTGTGTCGGGGAGCAACCTTCTGAAGTTCCTCTTCATCGTCCGTGATTGCAAGGATGTCAATGGGATCCAAATCCAAATCTTCTGCCTCCGATGGACACTCATCACCAGTGGCATTCATCTCCTCCACAATCATGGCTTTTGCTTCTTGCTCTGAGGCATCTAGGAAGGCTTCTTCTTCTTCTTCTTCAATCCTTCCACCCCTGTCATCCGCATCTTCCAAACATGTTGGAAGTACACCCTCCATGGCTGAATCTGGAAAGGCTTTTGACAAGCAGTCTGGAATGGCCACTCCTTCACAGGCTTGGCATCTTAGGGCCACCAGCTGCTTTACAGCCCCATCGCCAGCCCGCACCCTCAATTTGGAGACATCATCATTCAATTCCAAGGTCGCAATACAAAGATCTGACCGAATCTTCTTGAGCTCCGTGTGGTCTTTCACATAGGGCACGAGCGCCTGCTTGCTCTTCCTGAAAAGCAAAGGCCTTTCCTTGTTGTGTATTTCCCACTCATCAAACTTTTTCTGCATGTGGGGAGTCAGGGTGTTGTTCGGCCTTTTTGCAATTTTGATATTCCACTTCTCCTTGTCACTCTTCCATTTGAGCAACTGAACTGCCATTGGTGATGAAAGCCAATCCGGTAAGATCTGTCTGGTTTGAGGAAGGTTGACATCCTGAATTGCCCAAACGACCTGCTCTTCACCTGGAAGTGGTGTCATTCTCAAACTCTCCAGCTTCTCAAGGTGTGCGTTCTCGCTGATGACCGGAAGCTCCTCCAGCTGCAGCAAGTCACACAATGATGACCGATCCCGTCGATAAGCTTTGGATGCATTTTCAGTGACTCCTGGGCAAGGGATGACTTGTGTGCCACCAGTTGTGTTGTATATTATTATTGTATGTCTATATATATGTATAATATGCATGCTTGCCCTGCAAATAAACATGGCCCTTAGAATGCCTCAGCGCAACCACACCCCGCCTCCAAATCGCCACTCAGCAATCTCTTCCAGTGTACAATAGCCCCTCTGCACCCACGCGGACCACACCATCATGCCGTTCCTGCAGCGGGATTTATAGAGTTTTTAGTGGAAGTTCAGTGGACATCTATATAAATCAAATGGGCTTTGAGGGTCGAAAATGAAGCTTCTTGATTGGTCCACCGTTAGAATGCATGACATTGCTGTTGCAAACAAGCCACTCCCAATCATTCAAACACTTCAGCGCGTACGCATCTGCTCTCAAGGCCATGCTCATAGTTGACCTTTTCATGTCAGTGAGCAATAGGAAAGCGTTCTAAGTGCATACTTGAGTTTGAGTTGAGGGTATATTTTAAAATCTTTTAGATTCTATACGTAGTCTATAATATATGTACTTCAGGATTATGATATATCAATGCAAAAGAAAAGGAAAAGAAGTACACTCACTGTAAGCTGCCCGGCAACTTGGTGGACACACTGGTCTGCACACCGAGCTGGAGCTGGTCCAATCGAAGCCGCAGATCTAGGTTGCTCTGCCAGTTTATGCTGCATCGCATGTACGCGTGCGTGAACAAATGCAAGAACTGGTGAAACCCGTCGTTGGGTTGGCCAGCTGCGCCAAAGCCGCCTGGCACGCGACCAGCGTCTTCAGGACTGTCGCCTGATAGGAGCACCTAAGGTTGCTTTCCCACTTTCCCCTGTGGTACTGTATGTATCGTTGATCTGTCTCTGTGTCTCCAAGGGGTGACGACAAAGAACACATGTGTATACATATATACATATACATATGTATGGACATGTATATATATATATTTGTATTGGGAAACATAGAAAAGTGATGGAAACAGAGATGGGAGGAAAGAGGGAATGGAGGACACTGAATAGCAGGCGGAGCACTACATTGTGCTGCTCGCACCAAGCATCCTTGAGCATTTTGAACTTCTGGGAGCTGTGCTGACAAGCTGTATCGCACAGGATCAAGCAGCGATCATCCAGAGAAAGATTGAGCTGCTTTCTGCGCTGCCTGATTTCTCCTTCTAAGAACTTGAGGTATGTCAGGAACGTCTCTGCGCTCCAGATGTGTGTCTTAGAATGAAGAGGAGCTACGTAGACCCATTCTGATAGCTCCTGCAACCCAGCAATGGAATCGCGTGAAATATATATATATATATATACATTTCCGCTTGGGAATAGAGTAACTGAAAACCAATGTCAGAGTGTGCACACTTCTGTGACACAAGATTGCAAGAACATGTTTGCAATGAACATCATGTAGCCTCCTCCCTATAATGTAGAATTGCACTTATCTGAATGATAGAGCACTATTGATCAACAGGAAAGCATTCTAAGTGATTCATAGGGCAATGGAAAGCACAGGTGGTACCTGCCTTGTTCATTGCAGCCCTCTCTGTCTCAGTGAGTGTTCCTGACCTGCACGTCGCAAATCCTCTGCCTACGCTTCCGTCCAGCCAGGATAGCGTCGTCAAGGTATGAGGTACTCG